TAGTCCCAGCACTTTGGGAGGCCAAGGCGGGTGGATCACGAAGTCAAGAGATCGAGACCATCCTGGTCAACATGGTGAAACCCCGTCTCTACTAAAAATACAAAAAATTATCTGGGCACGGTGGCGTGTGCCTGTAATCCCAGCTACTCAGGAGGCTGAGACAGGAGAATTGCCTGAACCCAGGAGGCGGAGGTTGCGGTGAGCCGAGATCGCACCATTGCACTCCAGCCTGGGTAACAAGAGCGAAACTCTGTCTCAAAAAAAAAAAAAAAAAAAAAAAAATGCTTCCAAAAGGTTTGTTGAGCTAGTTCTATCCTCAATTAATATACCACTACAGAGATGGGAAGGCCATGGCATTTTTTTTTTCTGGTGAAGCAATCATTTTAAAACCCATGAGATTATCTGAAGGGAAGTTTACTCCTTATGAGCTACAGAAAGTGTGCCATCATTTGAACACAGAAACAGTATCCCACAGGGATTAGGAAGATATGCTTTGGCATCAATCAGACTTTGGTTCTAGTCCTAGGCACCATTTTCCAAATTTAATTGAATAATTATTATAATTACTATTCATTTATAAATTAATATTTATTATTATAATAGGGAATAATTAATGGACTTAGCACTAAATATCCGGGTACCTTAAAATAACCCATTTAAATAATTGTCTAAAGTTCAAGTTTACATCTGATCTCAATGTAGAGTCATTTTTTTATTTATTCATTGGCTTATCTGGCAATGACTTTCCAAGCATGCAAAACTGGTCGTTGAGGAACTGATAGATGATTTCCCAACCAACATGACCATGATAGACCCCTCAATATAAAAGCTTGCTTCCATTGCATGAGGCCCAGAACAGAACATTTCTAAATAAATCTGTCGTGGATTTGGATTGCTATTTTTCAAAGCATTAACTCATGGGGGAAACATAAAATTAGTTCTTAGTAAGGCAAAAGCATTTCTTCATATGTGAAGTGAGGAGATGAGAATCTTCTATATATTCCTTCTTCATGAGTAGTACCTTAGAGTAGTGACCACTGGAGAAAATGTTTTCATTACCAGAAAGTATCTATGTAGTGCTTAGTTTAAAATAATGACTAACACTATAAAAAGAGAATTGCATAGTTATGTTCTTGCTCTCAAGGAATTTAAAATTGAACATATAACCAATATGCTCTTTGCATATGGTCAGTAAAAATAAAGTCTCAAATAGGAATTCTTAAAATATTTTCTTATTCTATGCAATACATTAGCAATCTCTCATCCAGTGCCTATATATTTTATGTGTGTCAGCAATTTCGTGTGTGTGCATATGCATATGGAATGAAGTAAATTATAAAATTACTCACAATTTTAAGTGGAAAATTTATTTGTGAGCCTATGACAGCATTTTTTGACAATTCAGACAATGCATCAGGCTGTAATGCCAATTTTCTCTAGCATTTGCCTCTCCGCAGGAGAAGCGAACAGCTATGCTAACAAAATTACTGTATATTCCTCACTCCATATCTACTCCTTGTCCTGACCTATTTCTACTCACAGCAACCTCATGCTATTAATTACTTAGGCTTTAAACCCTTACAAACTCCTCTCCTTTGACAACGTTCCCCACTTGAAATTCATTGCTGAGTTGTGCTGATTCTACCATTGCAGTGACTTCCCACCTGACCACATTTCCCAGTATCAGGTGCCCAGTGCCCTTACCTGGACAGTCACAGTGGCATCCAGACTGGTGTCTCAGCCCACTTTCCCCCTCCCCATATTGACTTTCCCTAGGACATCCCAACACTGTAAAGTCAGGCTACTGTTTAGAATGCACAGAGCTGACTGTGCCATCCTGTTCAAAACCACATTGCTCTCAAAATAAAGTCAAAGCTTCCCATTGAGGCAATAGACTGACCATAAACTATTTCCAGTCTTATTTTGACTGCTCTCTGCCTGCCCTCGTCAAACAAGCTACTCAGTGCTCTTTGCAGAAGACTTGCACTTTTCAAAGCTGTGCTTGAATATAGGCTGGTTCTTCCACCTGGAATCATGTTCTTTCATTTTCTGTTTATAATGTCAAATGCCTGTGTGCCATGAAGATTCCAAACACTACCACCGCCCACCCCCTGCGCGCGCTTGCGCACGCGCGCACACACACACACACACGCACACACACGCACACACACACATACACCCCTAGGTCTGAATTGATTTCATCTTCCCTGGGCCTCCCACAGCTGTTTGTTATTCCTTCTAGAAAAGGATTACCCACATTGGTGTCCCTACGACTTTCTTGTTCTGGACGATAAACCCCATGAAAGCAGAGACCATGCTTTGTTCACTGTTTTGCATCTGCTCAGCTACAGCATTTAGCAAGTTCCTGGCACTCAAAGGAGCACCGGAAATAAAATGCTCCTGAAGGCAGAGGAATGGCCTGGGTGACGTTTGAAGTGGCCCAATTGCCATGGCGTCTTCCACGAATTCCACAGGTACCAGGCATATGTCTGTCCTGGTCTCAGACCTACCAAATCTGCTTAATAATGCAGCTCTATTTTAATACCTGGATGCATACGAAGTAAAATACACGGCTTAATCATTCTAGAAGCAATAGGCGCCCCTTTTCAGAGCACTTTTCTTAAATGAAATCTAATGAGAGTATATCACCCTGAACCCAAGAAAAGGAGACTTAAGCCAAGCTTAGGAAAATGTACATAATCTAACTTTAAAAATGAATTTCTCACAACACAACATAGAAGAGGAAAGAGGTACCTAGGTGTGAAACCTGGATCTGCCACTTTCCCTGTAAATAAAATACAAATACTTGAGAGAGATCTGTGTTATGGGTAGTGCATGTTAAATGCTTGAGTTAATGTGTCTCTTTCCTCTCCAAATGGAGCATATAGTGTGGGTGACCTCAGAATGAAGGAGCCCAGAATGGAGTTAAACCCAGAAACAGTGCTAGTCTCTGAACCTCCATTTCTTTCTCAGCAAAATAGAGAATTAAAAAGTTATTTGTGAAAAATATCCTCCATGCTTCTCTTACCAAGCCGGCAACTTAAAATCTATGGTTTAAACTGTGTTTTCAATTATTTAAGGGAGGCCAGCACTGATGAGCCCATCCTAAGCCAGTCATTTTAAGGCCGGTGCTACCCAACTGGGCGAAGGCTAATCCGGTCGGAAGACATATTCTGGTCTGTGAATATGGAATAGAGAAAAGCTAACTGACCCTGACAGAGATACCACAGCTTATCAGTTTTTAGGACACTTTACATGTTGCAGGGTGGTTTCCAATTTCCAGTACCAGACTGTTGTCGAAGCCTAGAAGTTGCGCATTGATTAGGAATGGATTTGGAGTCACACAATGTTTATGTACATCATTTTATGAACAGAACAAGTGACATTGGTCACCAGAGTCTAGGGGGAGATTTCTCCTGTAAACAGGCATTAAAGGGCTCCAGGCTATCAAGTATAGAAAGGAGTGGCAAAAGGGTGAGGTCATTATGATCTCTTCCCTTCTCCTCCCTGGAAAAAAAAAAGAATTGTGGTTTCCTGCAAGGCCCAGAATACGTGACCCATAGCTCCCTCACTAAGGGAGGCTGACTCTAAGAGTGTGCATTTGTCTTATAAAAGAAAGTGTCAGCCCAATTGGAGATAACTCTCGAACTTTGGGTTTTCTCATCTTTGGCCTCCAAAGAATAATATACATAAATATAAAACTCTATGGAAAATGTATGGCATTGTATCAGAATGACAGGAGTTTCAGTGCATATTCTGATTTTGAGACAAGAAAATCAATTCTGCTCATCTGAGGCCAGAATGACAATTAGTTCTTGTTGAAGTGAGAGATTACTTACTCAGCTCTTTTTTTTTATGTTTATGTGAAATTTCAGTCACTCAGAACAAAATGGGGCAAGAGAATGGGATTGTAATGTGCTTCTAAAAGATATATGTTTCCATTTCTATATTCACATGGATCTTATGAGATTCTCATACTTATAAATTGACCACCAATTAGTAAAATAAATATTTATATCTAAGGCCCATTCATTGTACTTCTTGGTACTATCAGAATTCTCTATTTAATATCCTAGACCTCAAAGAAAAGTGCTTTGGAGGAGCAAAAAAGGAAAGGGGGAATAACAACATGACCTGTTATCCAAAATGAACACATAAGCACAGATCACTTTTCAAAATGTCCATGATTTCAGAACATAAATTCAGACACACCCTTCAAAGAAGCTTTAGAGAGGAGAAAACCTGGCCAGCTTCCCAAATCTCACTGCATCCAATTGGACTGGGTGATGACCAAGATCAAAGGCATGTGGTGATTGGACAGAGGGCCAGGAGGAACTGGCATCCTCAAGGCTGCTGGAAATTAGCCAGCTCAAACATACCAAGCACAAGCAATTGAAAATAAAGACAGGCCAGTAATCGAATACACATGGGGCTACACTTCATGAAATGCAAACTTGACGTGTTCACGAAGGAGACGTTTCCAGGTCTTCAACAGCATATACTCAATAGGAAAATCAAAACATCCCCTTTTGCAACCTGGAGCCTGAGTCTTTGGCTCCCACTTTAGGGAAATGGGCAAAATGACCTCTTTGTCATAGTACCCATCATGCTCCCTGCCCTCCTCCACTTCCAGACCCCTCTCCCCTAAGTAACTTTGTCTCTCCAACACACTTTCCAACCCCATACTCCCTTAGAAACATAGAGCAAAGATGACAAATTCTTTTCTGTAGGTTCTGATTCACAAAGGGAGAGCATTAGAATGGGGGCTTTGGATAGAAAAACCCTTGAAAATAAGTGCCTGAATAAAGATATAAAAAGAGAAAAGTAAAGGAAGATTTTTTTTTCAAACTTGATGCCCTTTAAATATGTATATATGGATTACATTTTCGTGGAGGAAAACAGTAAAATCCAGCAGCATTTAAGGGATTTCCTCTCACCAAATTGTCTCCGGTCCCTTAATTTTGTTTAAGCCTTGCTGAGTACTTTGTTCACGGTCCCTAGTGTGGTGATTTGCATCCCCCTATCTGTGTTGCTGTTTGCAGGGCAGGCAGCTGTCTCAGTCTAACTCTAGCTGGGAAAGGTAAGGATCTTTGTTTTGCTGTTTGAAAGATCTGGGAAGGAAATGTCTAATGCTTAGGTGGGTTAGGGGCATAGATAGAATTCATTCATTGGAGGCTTTAAGAAAAGTTCTCCAAACTTAAAGGAGTCTCCTAAAGCCATGTGCTTTAGAAAGAACTAGAGAGATTTCCTCTTCCTTGTGAAAAGAGAGGGCTTGCAGAAATAAGGCTGGTTGCATTGTGGATGAAATTTTGCATTTGGGGGCAGGTGTCCCTGAAGGGATCCACAGGGGTGTTTCATACATTATAGACAAAGAGTGGAAGGAGGAATAAACATTCAGAGGCAACACGAGATCATGAGGAATTCTCCTTGAACTTCAATTTGAAGAGGTAAAGTCAGTTAAAGCTGCTTGTGTCCATGGTTAGGATAACCACTTTATGCCAAAGCTTTCTACTTCTTTAAATTTAACGTACAAATCATCAGTTCGCTACTCAGAGTCTAGAGATGTGTATCTGCGTATCAAGGCAGGTGCATATACCCTGGAGCACTGGGGTGAATGAGGCACCTGAGCCTGACAAGGCTGAAAAAAGCTTTGGTACTGGAAGTGACTACAGACCAGCCCATGCTCCCAGGGCAAAGATGCACTCCCTGTGCCTCATTATAGACTCAGCAAAGGGCTCACCATGGGAAAAGGTGTCATTGTCCTCTCTCTAGAAGGTCAATTTGTGCACCTGTAGCCTTGGTAACAGGAAAGCATGCTTTTCAACAAAATAAGGTGATATTCAGAGCTTTGGTGCAGTTATTGGGCTATCTTGGGAGGGAAGTAGTACTGGAAAGTAGAGGGGAATTGTGGATAAGAAGACAGCTCTTTTAAGGAGCTTCTCAAGAACCTCCATCTCACCATCTTCCCGGGACAACTTTGGCAAAAAAAGTATTCCTGACCCTCAACACCAAGTTACAGTGCTCCTCACGGATGAAGGCTGTCTCTTTAGGTCTGACATTCTTAAAAGTGTTAGGATCATGGTGACCAAGGCCTTCCAGGTACTTGCCATGACTCCCCCAAGTCTCAGAGACTTTTCAACTTTATGTTTTATAATGACATAACCCTCTGGCTTTCATTCTAGAATAAACAACTCTGGTCCCTCTCCTTTTGTGACAAGTCATCTGGTATTGCTACAAAGCAAGGCTGCGGAGAGTGTGCTGTGCTAGAGGAGAGGTAAGATGTTTGAGAGCATCCAAGCCCTTTGCCAGCAATTAGAAAAATATAACAATTTGTTTTTCTTCTAACAAAGAAGGAAAACAAATCTCTTCCAACAGTTAATTTGGATTTGTGGTTCACAGTATTAATTCGAAGGGGTTATTAACACTTGTGCAGATGAAAAATGAGAATGAAAAACTTTTCATTACAAAGTGTAGGATGAGCTCCCAGTATTACCTTTTCTTCTCAAAAAGACAATCTAGAGCTTTACATATTTCAAGTTTTGAAAAATTGCACAGATTGTCTGTAAGAAAGCATAAACCTATAAAGCCACTTTATAGGTATATGGGGGTGGGAAATAGATGTCTACCTTCATTGTTTGAGTGTATGAGGTGTCAAGTTGTACACGTTTGAATGTTTAAAATACCATGTTCCTTAAAGTGGGCCAAGGAACAGAGATCTCAACTTAGGTAGGGAGCTTGTCACAGACCTACTGAATCAGAATCTGAATTTAGCAATCTCCCCAAGTGGTATATGTAACCATTAAAGATTAAGGTTCAAACCAGGGGTTTCTCTGTTACTGTGTGACCCTTGTCAAACCACTTAACCTCTCTGAGCCTGTTTCCTCATTTATGAACTAGTGAAAATTAATGTTAACGTGTGACATGTCTTAATATTGTGCCATCTCCAGAGTAGGTGCTCTGTAAATGGTAGCAATTATCATGATGGTGATAATCTTAGTACTGATAAAGTTACTGCCTTGGAAAAGCAATAAACAATCATGTTTAAATCAACATGACTGGTTTTTCCCCTTAACCGCAAACATTTTTGCCTCCTACCCTCATTCCTAAATGAATTAACACTGAACAAGTGAGGATTTAACCTTCAGTTGATTATCACGTGCATATAAATAAAGAATAATGGGAAAACCTAGGAACATGGATTTTTGCTGTCTTAGAGACTGAATTCAGCTGCCTGATGAGTTCACAGCTGTTTCTGCTGTCCTGGAGTGTCTGTCCCCTTTGCTCTGTCCCCTCAGCCACGTCTGCAACACTGACTCTGGGATTTTCTTATAAAAATATCTGATGGACTGATGGACGGGAGGAAGATCTGGAGGGCGGCAGGGGAAAAAATGAGTCATTCAAATTCACAAAGCAGACCGCTTAGTAAATACTGCAAGAGAAATAAAAGTAAAAGCTGGCCTTTTTACTTTTTTCTCTGGGGAACCTGTAGAAATGATTTGGAGTTATCATGTCACTGAGTAAAGTTGGGGGAAGCCAAAACTCAGAATCTGCTGGCAAGGAAAAGAACTAAGGAAAAAAAAAGTTAGGGAGGGGCAAACCGGAGGGGGAGGGAATAAAAAGACAGAGGGAGGGAAAGACAAGCGTCATTTAGGAACAGAGGTAGCCTGAAGAAGCAGGAACTCCAGGATCCCAAAAAAAGACCATATAGTAAAGTATTTTCACATCTTTTCTTTTCCCCAGAAGAGACCCCTAACCTGTCATTTTATTGACAGCCGAGCTGTTAGAGGCTCTTTCCCAGAAGTTGGACAAAGAGGCTCAAGCGTTGCTGTTTCTTCCCTTCCAAGTCAAGTTGTTTCTTTGGTAATGGATTGCCTCTCTCGGAGGTGAGTATAAGTAATTTGGGGACAGATATTGATTTTCAGGTTAGCCCAATCTCAGCTTTGGGGTGAAGATAAGTTTTCCAGACATAATCTCAAATATCTTTTAACTGGCCTCGCCAGTAATTAGGGTGTCATTGGACAACAGTGATTAATTAGTTTAGTAATTAAAAATGACATGTGAGTAGGCAGCTGTAATATTTAGTTTCACTGCTCAGGGAGTGATATTTTGACTTTCCAGGGTAGGGAAGAACTATTTGATTTGGAGTTGAACGTGTTTTCGGTGGATGCTTAATATATTCAAAGTAGTAATCTCATTGAAATGGTCTCAAGTATCTTTCTAAACTTGTTCAGTAACTACAACTGCTCAACTGTGTAGCAGCTAGACAGCTTTTTGAAAATGGAAGACAGTGACTTAACATGTCTGAGCAGCAGACAAGTTTTCACTGATTTCTCACAGACAGCATTTCAACCAGATGCTTTTGATCAACAGTCTCAAGCTTTGTCCTAACATTTTCAGGTTCAACATACTTAGAAAGGGTCATTGCAGCAAAGGCATGGGGGGAAATGAAGTTTGTGAAATTTTCCTGAAAACCTAGCATGCTTATTTGTTTATGTATGCTGTAGTATACATAATATGGAAATTTTGTATTGAGCTTAATAGAAAATTTGTGAATTGACAGCTAATTACTCTAATAATTTATGTGTGCCAAGAGAAAGCACATTACAACCCATGAAGGGGTTGAATTTTTGTTCTTATGTTTCTCTTTTCTAACAGAGTGAAGGATATTGTTACATTTCAGATCACAAATCCCTACCTCATTGTCAATGATTTTTTTGCTGAATTGTTCCCCTAAAATGGGTAATAAAAAGATCCCAGGAAGCAGGTTGCACTGTGTTTAATAGTAACACAATAAAGACTTGTTGCCTGTCATTCGATGGAGAAGAACGTCATTTGTTGCTGGCTGCTTGCCTTGACATTGATTTTGTGGGCAGTGAATGGGTGATAGTTTGGAATGAATGCATGTTATGTCCAGCAAGATTGGCAGAGTCTGAGTTGCTGTAAGTTGTGGAATTAATGGTGCAAAATATCATTTGTAATATATTCTCCTTTTGAATGAGACTGTCTTTGGATTAGGATTCAGGCATTTCTGTGTGTTTAGAGGAAAGAGAAGCAATAGACAAAGCAGAGCAGCTTTTAAAACATTTGTAGACCACCAGGGCATATTAAACACTGAGTGCTTCCTGCTTTTTCTGTCTTCCCTTCATGTTTATTTGCTTCATCTTATTTTTTGCCTAAATGCAAACAGAATGCAACCAATTCAAAAAAAAGAGTAAAGTTGCTTTTCACATGGATCTGTGCCTCCTGGAAAGGAGGTGCCTCCCTGGCTTTTTATTTCTGCTTCTAGGGTTCATTCTGATACATGTAACTGACATCTTCTGTTATCTTCACAGCTTTCACCCTGGTGAGACTGTCCAGATATAGTCTGTAAATCCAGCTTAGAGGCACTGTTGTAAAAATGACTGAAGAACCCATGAAGGAGATCCTGGGAGCCCCAAAGTCTCAAATGGTGGCAACGATGGAGAAGAGCCCCAAGAGTGAAGTCGTGGTCACCACAGTCCCCCTGGTCAGTGAGATTCAGTTGATGGCTGCTACAGGGGGCACCGAGCTCTCCTGCTACCGCTGCATCATCCCCTTCGCCCTGGTTGTCTTCATCGCTGGCGTCGTGGTCACCGCGGTGGCTTACAGCTTTAATTCCCACGGCTCCATCATCTCCATCTTTGGCCTGGTTGTTCTGTCATCTGGACTTTTTTTACTAGCCTCCAGTGCCTTGTGCTGGAAACTAAGACAAAGGAGCAAGAAAGCCAAGAGACGGGAGAGTCAGACAGCTCTTGTGGCAAATCAAAGAAGCTTGTTTGCTTGAGACTGAATAGGCTACTCAGCCTAGAAAACCTGCTCTGACTTTGTCAACCAATTCACCCTGAACCACCGTGGGAGAGAACAGACTTGGTGTTAGAACAGACTGGAAGAATGGGGATGGGAGGGTGGAGGGGCTTCTCCTTTGTGAGGAATGACTCATGTCTGATTAATGACAACCTTAACCCTAAGGGCTATTTCTGAGACTGAAAAATCAACTTTCTATTTACATTGAACATTCTGGGGGTCATGGGACTGCATGGCATTAGATAGCGTTTGGTTCACCCTGTAAAGTAGCCAAGAAAAGATGGGTAAATAACAAGATAGGCCTGGCACACTAGACATTTGCCTTTAAAAGAAATAACTCACACTCTTAAGATGTATCATAAAATTGTTCTGCCAAGGATCTAAATTGCCTTGGACTTTGTATATGTCTATGAAATTCTGTGATTTGTTTTCAATACATTGATTCACTGGCATCTGTTTTTGTTTTTCACTTTTAATAACTCATCACTGGTGGTACTTTATCTTGAAGAGTAAACTAATATATTGTATATTTTACCATTGGATAGTTTTAGCCAGTTGTAATGATGTGTCAGAAGTAAAGAAGAACACATTAAAGGCATAGCTAATAGATGCTGTTGGGGGTTAAATTAATATTAAAATAATCCAGTAGAGCACTTTTGACAATTTTATATAAAAGTCAAGTATACATTTCATTTAGAATAATAAATACTTACTGCTGCTAAAACTTCTTAAATGGTTGTTTCTGTTGTTTTTTTTATTGCAGTTCTAAATTGCCATCTTCCCTTGTCTCATTTGCAAGTTCTCAGTTGTATTTCTCTCAAATGAACAGGTTCCTTCTTCTTTACTGGAGGATTTGTGTTTTTATCATATTAATTTTTCATTACTTCTGAATAGTCTTAATTACGTTTACTAAATTCCAAATGAGTTCTATGCTATTATAATTAGGAAATCAACGTCTTGGGTCAGGAACTTTATAATGTACTATTAAATGTATATTATATTTTAATTAAATCAGTTGTTAATTATTTGCTTAATACATATGCCAGCACCAACTATATGCCAGGCACAATATAGATTCTCAGATTGCTTACTCAGTGAGATCTAATACAATGCAAATATGGTTACTACTTGAATTCTTCAGTGGACATAGAGCTAGTCCACAGCTAGGACTCTACCCTGTAACTCCAGCCAGAAATATAGCTCATTTATGTAGTTTAAATCACCTTAAACTAGAATAGAAAGATAGGCATGATGATTTTTTAAAACTTGGAAAACAAAATCAGCCTAGCATAGCACATTCATTGAAAGTCATTCTATCCAGGAATTTAATTAAACATGGCAGGAGCTCCCTTGTGCTCATGTAGTTTTGGTAAGCGGAAATACCCTAATGACTTTGCAGGGCAGATGGTGTCACAAACAGATCAACGTTCCTCCCAACCAAATGCAAGTTAAGGGACTGTGCTCGTTCCAGTGCAAGTGAGTCTGTGCCTTCACATGCCTCTTCTCTGTGCAAAGATATTCAAAGCCCCCGCACACCCATTGCTATAAGAAGAAATTTCTCAGACAAGGTTCAAGATTCTCCGGTCTGATCCAAAAGGCTGTATCCAGTTCTGATGCTCACTCTAACCCCAAAGGCTCCTTATGAGTTAGGCAGACTAGACTATTCACCATTCTTGCACCTGGCTCTAGTTTTCCTGCCTCTATAGCTGTCCAAACTTGTGTTTTCCCTCGATTATAATACGATTGTTTCCTTGATTTTAATCGCCCCAAATCCTGCTTCTTATGAGCACTCAGCTCAAATGCTACCTCTTCCCAGAAGTCTTCCCTTTTTTCTGAAAGTGAGTGCTCTTTCACGAGTTCATCTTTTAGTCTCTGATGGCACCTTTTATTTTCTGTCGTGTTGGTGGTGTAAGTTTTATCTTTATTCCAAAGCTTCCTTAGAAGTGTGTGATATATCTTCTTTTTAACCCTAGTGTGATTAGTGTGATGCCTAACATAATGTCTTATGCAGATTAAGTATTCCATAAGTGCCTAATTATGGTGTCAAATGAGCCAAAGAATAAAAACTCAGAAAGTGAACGGTTTATCCAGAATTATAGTCCATTCTAATCTCTTTAAACAAAAAAAAGTTTTGTTCTCATTTTTCCCCCAAAGGGATCATCTCACTCTCTATTACGCCTCCACTGTAAGCAGCAGTTCAAGGTTACTCTATACTTCTCTAGCCTGACCTGTCCTTTAAAATGCTTGAAAAGGAAACGCGTGAATTATTTCCGGCCACCAGGGGGCCCCATGCAGCTATTTGAGTCCCATAAGAAACAGTTCTATGGAAAGACGTAAATTGTAATGACTGAAGTGGGATTAAATCTCTCCTAGATGTGAGGAGTTGGCCATTTATCCCACCCTTACTCACTTTGGTAAGCCACTACACGGTGGCTATTTCGGGGTTCTCTTAGTATGGGAAAGACTTGCTCTGTTTAGGGAGCTTCCAGTCACATTAAAAGGTTTGTACCATTACAGAGCTGTAAGGCACAGAGAGAGTTCTACATACTGTGAATCCCAACTCCCATGAGGAGAATAAATCTAAGTTGGGATTACAAATTATTATGATTATCTCATGACATGTCTTTATTGGGTAAGGTCTATTTACAAATGGTTGTATTATACAAATATGCAGGTGTTCAATGAATGCATGTGAAAATGCATGCATAAATGTACTAAAAAGATAATCTGAGTCCTCCCTGGAATATCAGAAACCAGCTGTATCACCTAGCAGAAATCCCCCTAAACTCATACATGACAGAGTGCAGAGAAACAACTTTTAACTTTGTTCCATGCGACTCTTAACCTTGTTCTTGCCCTGGTGAGAACCACAGCTATGTGGTGGCTCTGCTCTCCCCGCCTTACTGTCTTGGTTAATTTAGGGAATATTGCCTAGAGAAGCTGCCCAAGGAGATCATGCGATAGCACAGAGGCTGAGGCCGAGGATGAACCCTAGAGAGCCAGATCACAAAGCCTCTAATCTACTTTCCACTAAAAAGAAATCCCTAAAGAGATAAAGAGAGGAATACAGAAGAGAGAGAGAGAGAGAGAGAGAAAGAGAGAGAGAGAGAGAGAGAAAGGGGGAGAGAGAGAGAGAGAGAAAGAGAGAGAGAGAGAGAGAGAGAAAGGGAGAGAGAGAGGGAGAGAGAGAGGGAGAGAGAGAGAGAGAGAGAGAGAGAGAGAGAGAGCGAGAGACGTTAAAGAGATGATAGATATCCTGGTCTCCAGGGAAGTATTATGGTTTTGAACTTGGAAAATCTTGATATTGTAGTACTTGATAGTGTACCAAGACTCAACTGTAGCTGACATTCCTCACCACACCCTGAGGCTAGGGGTGTAAGTATCCACTCCACTTCACAGTTGAGGAAACTACAGTTCAGAGAGGTTAAGTGACTGCTCAGCTAAGATCTCACAGCATGTGAGGCCTAGCACCAGGTCCAATAAGCTGACCACACATTGTAGTTGTCTCAGTGTGTAAAAAAAATACCATAGACGGTGGCTTATAAATAACAGAAATATTTCTGTCTCACAATTCTGAAGGCTGGGAAGTCCAAGATCAAGGCGTCACTGTATTCCATATCTGGGGAAGGCCCACTCTCTGGTTATTAAGTGAAGCCTTCTTGCTGTGCCCTCACATGGTGGAAGGGGAAAAGGAGTTCTCTGTGGCCTCTTTTATGAGGGTGCTAATCCCATTCATGAGAATTTCACCTTCATAACCGAATCAACTCCCAAAAGCCCCACCTCCAAATACCACATCGAAGATTAGGTTTCAACATAAATTGGGGAATGGAAGGGAACAGACATTCAGGCTATAGCACCCAGTTTTATGCTTAACCATAACCAAAATCGTTTCCAGAACATCTCCTCAGCAGAAAGAGACAATACAGGTATTACAACACCTACTTTTGAAAAACTCTTGTTAAAGTATAATTTACACAGAGAAAGTTGTACAGCTCAATAAATTTTTATAAACTTGTGGAATTAACATCCAGACGAAGATACAGAATATTCCCAGCATTCTAAAGCTCCCTTTGCATCTACTTTCCATCAGTATCTCTCCAGGGGAAACCACTGTCTGGCCTTTATCACCTGGAGTAGTGTTGCCTGTTTTTTAACTTTGCATCAGTGGAATCGTATCAAGTATACTGCTTGTGCCTGGCTGCTTCTTGCAACAGTATGTTTATGAACTACAATCTAAATTGTTGTATGTACTTATACATGGCTCGTTCTTAGTGCTGTGTAGAATCACATTGTACAAATACAGTATCATTTATTTATTCTCTCTACCATGGATAGGCATTTGGATATTTTCTACTTTTTAACAACTAAAGATAGTATTTTTGGTAGCCAGTGTCTAAGAGAGCCCCACCTGATCCTGGACCCCTGGTATTCACACGATTCTGTGGCCTCTTCCAACACTGTCCCAGAGTTGGTTTGTGTAAACAGTAGAATATGGCAGAAGGGATAGTAGTTGACTTCCAAGATTAGGTTGTAAAAGACATCTTGATTTTTCTCTCTTTTGATTGCTCCCACTCTCCCTCTCTTCCTCTTTCTCTGAGGGAAGGCATCTACCATGTCACGAGCACACCCAGGCAGCCATGGACAGGTCCATGTGGTGAGAAACTAAGGCCTCCAGCCAACTAGAGAATAACTAAGAACTGCCAGCCACCACCTGAGTGAGCCTGGAAGTGGATGTTTACCCAGGGGAGCCTTCCAAGGACTGTGTTCCCGGATGACAGCTTGGCAGACCTCATGACAGACCTATCCAGCCAGGGATGCACCATGACTTTATGGGACCTACACACTTTTGTCTTTATGGATCCCTTTCTCCATTACAACAAAAATGAAGTATCTCACTCACTGGAAGGAAGAAATTCTACTAACAAGTTCGTGGACCCTAGACCTGGTGCATGCTGTACCTGACGGGTACCTTGGCTCTGAACCCAGCTAAGATATTCCCAGATTCCTCACCCACAGAAACTGTGACATAACAAATGTCTGTTGTTTTAAGTTGCTAAATTTGGGGATAATATGTTTTGCAGCAGTAGGTAGCTAATACTGTGCTATGATGAAATTTCTTCTGTGTGATTTTTCATGTACGTAGATGCATGTTGCTGTTGAGGGTAAACCTATGTGAGGAATTCCTGGATTAAAGGACAGTATGTGTTCAGCCTTATGGCCAGAAAATTCTCCAAAGTGGTTGGATCAATGTGCTCTCCTGCCAGCACTCTTAAGCGTCTGGATGCGCTACATCTTCAGCCATTTTAAAATATTTTTCATTGTAGTCATTTTTATGGGTGTAACATCTGCTTTCAAAGTATTGAGAAAGGAGACATAGCACAAGAATGTGGGCTTGATAGGGCAGAGCAAATTAGAGATAGGAGAAGGATTTGGGGTCGGAAAGTAAGATTTAGATTTGGACTTTGTAGGAGCAAAGCAGTGAGAGAGAAATTCTCAGGGAAGTGCCCTGGAGAGCAGGAAACCAAACTAGAGACTGGAAGTTTAAGTCACAGTCCCAGCTTCAGCATATATCCAGCATCGGCTACACTCCCAACATCATATTCTGAGCTCCACATGGAATATCTCATTTGATCCTCACAGCGGCCTAGTGAAGTAGATACCATTATTGTCTTCATTTCACCGATAAGGAAGCTGAGACACAGATCAAGCCAATTAATTGAGATCACATAGTCA